CCTTGCGTTTCAAACTGTCCGAAATTAGGTGCTACATCTGTATACCGGTCTAAATGTTTTCTCTTTGGTCTATTTATGTAATATAAAGTATAACTTATGTATAACAGAGCCAAGATCTCTGTATGACTTTAGTAAACTTCTGAATTGAATTAAAAATAAGTGTAAACAACAGTGAAGTATGTCTAGCTAGCTAGTTAGCATCACTAACGTCACATATTTATCCGTATTATTTAACGAAAATGTACGTTGTAATGCCCCTTGGGTTTGACATGTGTGATGTTAGTTAATTTAAAGTAAGTTAAAACCCAATACTCACATTTATTAGTGATTCCTCCGCTTGCTGCTGCTTTTAAATCCACTCTGCTGGGGAGACCGGAAGACATTTCATTTGAAAAAAACTCACTCTTCCCTGCGCGCATTGCACCCTGGGATATGGTAGGCCGCTGAGCAGGGGCGGACTGGCCATCGGGACGTTCGGGACGAATCCCGATGGGCCGGTCGGACGATGTGGGTCGGCCGGTAACCGGCCAGGGCTCGACATTATAAATGGCATGCTGGCCCGGAAGCACTATTTAGACACCCCGGGCCAGCATAACGTAGCCTACTTTCCACTTGCCTGCTCGGGCCACTAAAAATATTGCTTTAAAAAAATGGTCCTGCGGTATAGGTATTTTGACTAGCAATTTAGTTAAATTGTTTCGTTTATCAACACTACAACATAGCGTTCCGTGAGTTGCTGGGTGAAAAGCAAACAGCTGTTTGCTGCGGAGCGCAGCGCGAGCAGGCTCCCGTGAGCGAGAGCGCGCTCCTTCACTACAGACTATCGCGCCACCTAACCATTCGCCAAAATGTTTTTAATAACAGCAGTAACCGGCCAAGTGCCGGGCACAAAACAATCTTCAAATAAAAGAAAGTCACCGGAGGAGTTAAAGGAGAGTGACAGGGAGCATGAGAAGAAGAGGGAGAGAAAGTTTCAGCCAGCTTGATCGATGGAGTTGGCTGCAGTGACGCGTCCTAAAACCCTTTTATAATCTATCGATTCGATTTATGATTAGAAAATTATAAAAGTAGGGTAGACATGTGGAGATTATCCGGCTGAACAAAACGTGCATTTATCATTTATTAACAGGTTTGTTTTCCACAGACCTTATTTCCAGCTATTTTCCAAAACCCTGTGGAGAAATCCCATTGCTTTTTGTCGAGGGAACCAGCAGCTTACTTCCTGGTTTTAGGATGCGTCACTGGCTGCACCTCTCAATATGATGCCAATATAAACAAGTTCTTCTGTCTGCTCTGTACATCAATGCCGACCTATGCTGACAAGTAAGTGAAGAGTAGACAATATAAAGGTATTGGCGAAATGTCCCAGCAGTTTAGGATAATGAAGGTTCTAATCTAATCTATTACATTTCTAACTCCTAATGACAGGAAGGCAGAAAGTGCATTATACAAATAATAATACTCATAATAATAGCAGACATTTTTTTAACAATGACCACAATATCATTATTTTAATAAACCAAATATGAACAATTGAGGAAAATGTGGAAGAACTGATGATTCAAATGTTATAGTACAAGTAGTAATGTAGTTAGTGCATAAATTACTATTGCAACAAATGTGTTCATTTTCTTCATTATTAGTCGATTTCTTTTTGGATGAATGCTCCGTGCCAGAGGTTACAATGGTGGGGCCAGTGATAATACAAGTCCGGGCCGGTGGACTTACCCTTAATGTCTACCTCTGCGTCACTAGCACCCCCCCCCGACAATTTACTAGCGGTATTTAGCTACTTGCGGTACCGCGGTGGGCCGGCGGTACCGTAGTGGGCCGTTCGAGAGTCCCGGGCTGATTTGTAGTCCCAGTCCGCCCCTGCCGCTGAGTGTACATCAGATGTATCCTTGAAATTGGGGAAAAGTAGGCCGCATTAGTGGGCCGCATTAGGAGGAGTCTCGTCTTTTTTTTTTTTATTGGGACAGCCTTCTTTCGGCGGAAGTGACGTATGCGGTCTACAAATGCAGCCTCCGAAGGGTGTAGCCCTGAATTGAGACACGGCCTCTGTCTGTTACTTTAGATGAAAATAAGGAGCCCCTCCCCACGCCCCTCTGAAAGATATTTGGTTAAAAAGAACACAATGGTGCTCTAGGAGGAGATTCCGGTGATAAGGTGGGGGGGGTTACCTTGGTTGCTGATTGGCTAATGGTTACACAAGCCAAAACATTGTTATGACATCATAAAGTGGCCAACATCTGATCAGCTTATTTTCAGACAGGTTTTTATAGAAATGGATCAGGACAAAAAGTGAGAGAATCTTTGTTCCTGAAACTTTCAGAATCTCTTTACACAGAGGGGACACACACATGTTTATGTATAAAAGACATGAAAAAGTGGATTTTGCATAATAACTGACCTTTAAGTAGCAATATCATATTCAGAGCTTAGGGATGACATGTTCAAGCCCTGACCCTGTCACGTCAGGCACTGTCACACAGTGTCCCTCTTCTTTTGTAGTTAGCTTAAAAATAGTTAGCTTGCAAGCAAGGGATTTTAGTGAACTTATCTACATTTTTTAATAACAGAAACAATATAATCCTTTTCTGGGATATTTGAACGTGACAGCGCCTGGCCCTTTAGCTTGTCCACTAGGGGTGTAACGGTTCACAAACATTTCGGTTATGTACGTACCTCGGTTTTTCGGTCACGGTTCGGTACGTTTTCGGCAGAGTTGGGTGTAACAAAAGTAATATTATTATTATTACTGTAATAATATTACTTTTGTCGGTAACGGAGTAGTGTAACGCGCTACTTTTATAATTCAGTAATCACACTACAGTTACTAACATTGCCCCGACACGCGTTACTTTGTTACTTACTAAAATCAGTCATAATCACACTGACAGACAAGAGGGGTTTCCGCCGCAGGTTTATATGTACGTAATCTGCGCGACTTGCGCGTCCACATCTCCACGTGCAGTGCTACATAAACATGGCTGAGTCAGCGATAACTCTCGAGGGGTGGAGGTATGCCCATTACTTTGAGTTTGTCCGAATAATAGACAGGAATGTGACGGTGAGGTGCAAACTGTGTCCAGGCCAGAAGCTGTTATCCACTGCTGTAAACACCATGTCAAACCTCAACAAACACCTGCAAAGAACACATGCTAAGGTGAAGCTAATAGCTAAGGACCCCCGAACCCAGAGTGAGGATGTTGTGAGTGCGCCGCTGCCGAAGCAACAAAAATTCGAATTTGGAGGACGAGTTACTTTATGTAGAGAGTAACGAAGTAGTGTAATATATTACTTTTTTAAAAAGTAATATATATTAGTTTTTTTTAGTAACGACCCCATCTCTGGTTTTCGGTACAGCAGAAAAGATTATCACAAAACATAACATGTTTTTTTGGGTTTTTCAATTATTATTAAACTGTGAATAATGTATTCACTCAAATAAATACAAAATATAATAAAATAAACACTAAGGTGCAGCATTTCGATGAAATTAAATAATCTGTATTTTAACTGTACTGTACTAGTACCTAAGCAGCCAGCTTGACATTAGGACTTGCTTGTCATTGTATTTTCATGATTTTTTTAAAGACAAATTAACTTGTCCACATTGCTTGCCGAAAGGGCAGATCTGCTGGCACTAACAATGTCTCCTGCTGTGGAGAACACCCTCTCTCTAGGGACAGAGGCAGCAGATACAGCCAGGTAGCGCTTTGCTAACATGGCAACATAAAGATATTTGGCGTTTGTAATAGCTTTGGCTCGGTCTGAACTTGTTCTCGAGTGGTGGAGGCTTAAATGCTAGTGGGAGTTGGGTTTGCACTTCAGTCTTTTTTCTTTTGGTACCGGTGATATTCACGTTTGGGTGATGCCTTTTCAAATGAGTGTGCAAGTTTGATGCATTGCCAGCCGCGTAACCAATTTTAGTTGAACAATGCCGACAAACAGCTTTGGTTCGGTCCACCTGTCTTTGTCCGTCATCCTTGTACGTAACTGTGAAACCAAAATGTTCCCAAACCGGAGACTTCAATGATGCTGGAGGATTTTCGAGCTCAACTTTATCTGCGTTCGTCATTTCGATAGTTCCTCAAATTACTGACTAAATGTGAACGCATCCCTGTGACCAGCTCTCATAGTATGCCTCTCATCCAATGAAATGACTTGCTCGCTCTATGACACATTGAACCAAATGTGAGCAAATTACTCTGAATGCTGCATCGCAGCACCTGAGATTACTTCCAAAAAGTTGTTCACCTTTTACATTTTTTACGTTTAACGTTATATTCGTTCGGTACACTTCGGTACACACGACGTGTACCGAACCGAAGGGCCCATACCGAATATTCTCGGTATGAATACGTATATCGTTACATCCCTATTGTCCGCGTAAAAATTAAAAAGGTGCACATTAAAACCTTAAAATTCAAGGACAGAATTTGCCCACTTATTGTCAGATCCTCCTCAGTCAGATTATGTAACTCCTTCAGAATCATGTTCTTAAAGGTGTATTGCACTATTGTATATGGAGTATTTTATGAAGCGTGACAGGACTGACCAAAAACATGGGGACTGTTGTAAAACACGATTATTTTTTTGGTAAAATGTAAGCATTATTAAATGTTTTTAGTTAAATGTGTTATTAATTACGTTTTTTTTTTATTAAAATAAAAGTTTTCAGCTAATTAAAACATGTAAACCCCTCACTCCAATTTTGCTGGAGACAGTAAATAATGTTTTGATAATAAACGCGGGGGGGGGCTCATGTTATACTCTGCACTTTTCATTTTTTCCTTGAGCTGTGTGTCTGAGGAATATGTTAAGAATCTGCTGGTCATTTGTATGCACAACGCTCCGCTCTCTTTATTTACTATGCTTATTTGGTACGCTTTACTATGCTTAACTTACTATGCCGAAAATAAATCCTTTTGGTCTTTAGTGCTCTGCATTCATTTTGAGGTGAAAAACAACTGAATCCCTTATTTTCTTTGCAACAGGTTTCTGGATCCAAAGTCACAGAGAAGCTTTATCGCTGTGGAATTACCCGGGTGAGACGTGAAAGCAGGAGCGTGGAGGAGGATGCCCGAAGATAATCCTCCGGTGGGATGAACAGGCATCGAGTGCCATGAAGAGAGCTGTTCCCCGGGTAAAGGAGAAGAGAGGGAAAATGTGACTTCATTAATGTTTCCAAGCTGAATTATGGACAGTAGCTGGTGAAGGAATCATATTGCTAAGTGAGAGCGTCGCTCTTGTGTTGGGAAGCTTAGGACAACGAATTAAGATGGGATTACTCACAGCATCGGGCTGGACATGGTGGTGTTATTAAGCCAAGAGCAAAATTCAAATGACTGTTCTATTGGATATTTCAAATCGTAATTTCTTAAACGTTTTTCTCTGATTTGTGTCTGTTCTTTTCTGATGAAATGGAGATACAGTGGCGTTTGTGGAATAAGGACTGGGGCTCCTTTTTAAGGCCGTGGATACCTATACTGTTAGGTCTTCACCTCCAGTTCTCCCGGGCCTCCAACTGTCCCGAGGAGTGCCGCTGTGATCGGACATTTGTTTACTGCAACGAGCGAAGCCTGACCTCAGTGCCTCTGGGAATTGGTGAGGGTTATAAGACCCTTTACCTTCACAACAACCAAATCAATAACGCTGGTTTTCCCTTGGAGCTCCATCACGTGGCTTCTGTGGAAACTGTGTATCTCTATGGAAACCAGCTGGATGAGTTCCCCATCAACCTGCCCAAAAACGTTAGGGTTCTCCATCTGCAGGAGAACAACATTCAGACCATCTCCAGAGCGGCTCTGGCTCAGCTGCTTTGGCTGGAGGAGTTGCATTTGGATGATAACTCAATTTCTACTATAGGGGTGGAGAAAGGGGCCTTCAGTGAGGCCATAAGTCTGAAGATGCTCTTCCTCACCAAAAACCACCTGAGCAGTGTTCCTTTTGGTCTTCCAGATGACCTGAAAGAGTTGCGTCTGGACGAAAACCGGATCGCGATTATCGCAGAGGAAGCATTTAGGAATGTCACCCGCCTGCAACGCCTCCTGTTGGAGGGGAACCTGCTGACAGATGAAGGGATAGCACCGGGGACCTTTCAGAAACTGGTGACCCTCAAGGAGCTGTCCCTGGCCCGGAACTCACTCACATACCCTCCCCCGTTCCTCCCAGGGGAGGTGCTTGTCAAATTAAACTTTCAGGAGAACCAGATAAACAGGATCCCTGTGAGGGCGTTCGCAGGGTTGCACAAGCTGGAGAGGCTAGATATCTCTAACAACCAGCTGCAGTCCCTGACAGAGGGGGTGTTTGATGACCTTGTCAGTCTCAGGCAGCTCACTGTTCGGAACAACCTTTGGCTGTGCGACTGCTGCATGAAATGGGTGGTGTCATGGCTGAAATCTCTTCCGGCCTCACTCAATGTGCGCGGCTTCATGTGCCATAAACCTGAAAAGTTCCGGGGCATGGTGATCAGGGAGCTGAGTGCCGAGTTGGTCCAGTGCCCACAAAGCACGGTGAAAGTACCTCTGTCCACTTCCCCTGCTGCTCTCATCCCATCACTGTCCTCTTCCTCCCCACTGGTCACCCAGTTTGTTTCCTCTTCCTTGCCCACATTCCCCACGCTCTTCCCTGTCTACCCGACCAGAGCTGGGGGGTTGAGGACTAAGCAACCTCTGGACTCCAGGAGGGAGACTTTGCAGGTCACTTTTGCCATACTGAATGGTTCGGCTCTCCATGTCACCTGGGTGGCTGCTTTTCCAGTCACTACCTACAAGGTGACCTGGGCCAGGATGGGCCCTAGTCTGACAGGGGACACCGTCAAGGAGCGGATAGTTGGTGGGGATCACAGAGGGATCAGACTATCAAATCTCGATGCAAAGTCCACCTATCGGATATGTGTCATTCCCCTGGATGCATTCAATAATTACCGGCCCAAAGATGACACAGTGTGCACAGAGGCCATGACCACGGCGGCCTCTTTCAGCCCGGACAACAACAAAAGAGCGTCTGGGCCCGAGCAGACCACGCAGCAGGAACCAAGCTCACCTTTCCTGCTGGCTGGGCTGATTGGCGGGGCTGTGATCGTGGTGCTGGTGGCGCTGCTCGGCATCTTCTGCTGGCAAATGCACAAGAAGAGCCGCTCCAAGTCCTCCACCAACTGGAAATACAACAAGGGTCGCAGAAAAGACGACTACTGCGAGACAGGCACCAAGAAAGACAACTCCATCCTGGAAATGACTGAGACCAGCTTTCAGATAGTCTCACTTAACAATGAACAGCTCCTCAAGGGAGACTTCTGCATTCAGCCTATTTACACCCCTAATGGGGGCCTCGGCTTCAGAGACTCCCCCCTGGAGAACAACAGCACATTTGACTGCAGGAATAATGTACAGGATGCAGACTTTTGTGGCACATGATGGTTTTTGGAGAACATTTTTACTGAAAACTACTCACACTTTACTGGAAACTGTCCAGTGTTAATATTATTTGGAACCCGAGAAACTTCAAGAAATGTAATTTATACAACTACCTGGGAGATTTGTATAGAACATTGGATTTATAAGCTATTGGTTTCTAGGGTTGTGCTGTTTGAGTTCTACGATCATGTTTCTGTATTATTTATAAGAATTAAGGCTGGGTTTCATCAAGTCATTGTATACTGTAACCACACCAGATACATAATACACAGTGTAGCCACAGTACATAATTTCAGTACCGCTAGAGTTCTGAGAGAAGGAGAACAAATCAGCCACGCTTATTACCACTAGAGGGTGTTGTTTGTTGGAAACCTTACAGTCCACCACACTTTTTCTTTGACTGTTTTTAATCATTCGTCATCACAGAACCAGGCACATTTTTCTAATTGCCTCTACAATCAATAGAGATGCATATTACTTAATTTCTGCTCCAGGAAGAGGAATTATTTGTATGCAAATGGGATGTTTCTCTGCTACAAAATGTAAAGGTCACATTCATTAAACATTCACATGAAGTTGCAGGCCACACTGCTTTTCAAGATTATTCATTATCACAGTTATGGGGTCATGTTATTAATGCTAGCTGTGTTTGATAGTGGGTGTCACAGAGTGAGCTGCAAAAAAGCACATCCTCCATAAATGTAACCGATTAAGAACTTTCCTTTTGTTCAGCAGAAACAATGTCATGGTAAACAGTATATATATATATGTGCCTTGAAGTTTTCAGCTTACAATGTCTTTTGGATCCATGTTTTTGCACAAAAGGTGTACTGTACATTCAGTTGAATTGTTGTTGAGGAAACCTCTTGTTCGACATTATTTATTCACCTCCATAAACATTTAAATGAAAAACATATCTCCAAAAGTCAACTGATCCCTCATGATCTGTCCGAGAATCATCGCCGACTCACACTGTTAAAAGCACACTCATGTGGGGGAGCTCAGTGATGGTAGCAGAGGTATGTTTGGAGGGGGGTCCTTTGAGAATGGCTGTTGCAAGCTGAGAAGTCACAGAGACTGCACTTAAAGTATACTTTACAAAATCCTTAAAACAGCATCACCTATCAACTGTGGAGCTGAGACCATGAAGCATCTGCACTTACCAAAGCAGTAAAACTGTAGCATGTGTGTACCTGGTTGAGGAATTAAAGGAATATTGAATGGCCTATTAAGGCTCATTGCCACCATGGGGAGGTTTACAGAATGATACATGTTAATAATACATATTTATAGTTTTTTTCTTTTGCAAAAAATACTATTATTCTAAATTAGAAAAAGGAAAAAAGTGAATAAATATTTGCAACATCTACAATCCTTGTTTGTGCAAAAATGCATCCGAAAGTTGAACTCAGGCTCATCTGAGGCGTCAGCTGTGTGTGTTAGATGAATCACTTAGATATCTCTGTTTCTGCAGGACAAGCAGTTTGTCTCAATAGTGTTTCAACAAGCCCTTATCCATGGAGGAATCACCATATTAGGTTATGTTTATATCCAGGGGTGCACACAACCAGTAGCGTGTCGTGGGGAAAAAATTAGGGAAAGCCAATAATACGTCCTTTCTTTTGGGTCGGGGGTGTGGTGGTCAATGTAATAACGTAACCAGATGAGTGATTACAGCACCCGGTATCATTTTACACACATTTGTATCATACAGATGCAGGACTTACACACACCTGTTATCTAACCGAGAGGTCCGCACGCACTCTCCAGCCGAAACTCTAATAAGCATTCATTCACAAACTAAATCAGGAGACCTTTAACGTCTTACGTCCGATTCGCTCCTTTTTTCCTCGCTGTACACAGCTCCAGTTTGGGCATTGGCCTGTCATCAGATTGTATTTTAGTTGCTGCTGTAGCGGAAGTTTAGTACAATTATTTTTGAGTAAATACTCCAAATCTCCACCCTCCATAATTGCACTTGCTTCAGTTGCTTGCTACTTTCTAACGGCGGTGAGAGTGGTGCAGTGACGCTATCTATCTTATATCGATTAGATTTATGATTAGAAAATTATAAAAGTAGGGTAGACATGTGGATATTATCCGACTGAACAAATCGTGCATTTATCTAACAGGTTCGTTTTCCACTGACCTTATTTCGAGCTATTTTCCTAAATCCTATGGAGAAATCCCATTGCCTTTTTGTCGAGGGAAACCGAGCGCAGCTTACTTCCGGGTTTTAGGATGCGTCACTGCAACACTAAATTGATGCGATTTGATTGGATTGTGAGGCAAGGGAAGCCAGCTGCCTCTGGCTTCCCTTGGCATGGCCCTGACTAATCACAGGTTGGCAGGGGCATGACGTGAGCCTTGTCTGATTGGTCAATCCCTCCATTTTTTTTCACCAAGGGAAGCCAATTTCGGCTGGCCTCCTCTCGCAACAGAGAGTGCAATCTACTGTTTCACCATAACATCTACAGGGGCGCTGTTTCACTCTTTGTAAAATACTCAATGAGAATGGGGGAGAGACGGGCCGGGCAAAGAATTTCCGAAACTAAACAAAGTGTTTTTATTTATTTATTAAAATTATAACTACAATCCGAAAAAACAGGGGAAGCCTGGCTTCCCTTGGCCTCCAGGAGAAAACGCCACTGCACATAACTTGTACGCAGGTATGCATGCGCGGCAAAAATCTGAATTGCGTAACGTCACTTGTGTCACTACGCGCCTTTGCGTACCTGATAGGTAATCAAAACAAAACACATATTTCATCTACACGTGTTTGGAGTAAACTACTAGACATCTCCAAAATACATTAAACAGCTATTTTGGCATTTTGCTATCTGCAAAATCCCTTTCTTGGACCAATTGAACTGGATACTGGGTGCTGGCCGCGCCGCGCAGGCCATAACCGACAGACTGGTGACCCAGCTAGCGGGGAACGTTCTCACAACTTTGGCTAACGTTACCTATTGGTTCTAATAAGGTTTTAAAGAAACGTTTTAATCTGATGTTCAAAGAACCTTTTTAGGATGTTTATTTTTTCAAATAATGTTCCTATAAAACATATGATGCACGGTCAAAACATATGATGCTGCCATTTCATCTTGCCACGTAGTTCGGTGTCAGCACGGTGTTTAGTCACCCTCTGACAAAACGTTTTCTACGGAAAGCACAGAGACTCAGACCTGTGTCACGCGCTTTGGCGCCTCAATGGGTTTTGGCTTTAGTGTTACGCGCACTGAGTAAAGCTCCATTTGAACCTTTAGATCAGGTCCCCCTGAAGTTTTTGTCAGCCAAAGTAGGCCACAATAAAAGGCCACTCTGAAACGTGCATTTTTGCTTTATTGGGGGGGTCCGAAAACCAGTCAGTATCTGGTGTGATGGGTAGGGTTAGGGTTAGGGTAATGTTGTGAATCGAGTGGCCCATGGTGGTGGTGGGGTTATGGTATGGGCAGGCGTATGTTATGAACGACGAACACAGGCCACTCGATTCACAACATTACCCTAACCCTAACCCTACCCCTACCCCTCACACCAGATACTGACTGGTTTTCGGACCCCCCCAGACCTCCCCAATAAAGCAAAACTGCACGTTTCAGAGTGGCCTTTTATTGTGGCCAGCCTAAGGCACACCTGTGCAATAATCATGCTGTCTAATCAGCATCTTGATATGCCACACCTGTGAGGTGGGATGGATTATCTCGGCAAAGGAGAAGTGCTCACTATCACAGATTTGTTCAGATTTGCGAACAATATTTGAGAGAAATGGTTATTTTGTGTATATAGAAAATGTTTTAGGTCTTTGAGTTCACCTCATGAAAAATGGGAGCAAAAACAAAAGTGTTGCGTTTATATTTTTGTTCAGTGTATGTGTTTGTTTCTACTGTGTGTGTTTCTCTCTCTCCCCCCCCCCTGCCTGCTGGTCTGCTCGACACGGCTGGGAGCAATCTCCAATCAACCACACCTGCAACCTGCTCATCAGCCACACTATGAAAGCCTGCAGCCTGCACTCATTCCCTGCCGGATTGTTGCCGTGAACGGATTGTTGCGTGCCGCTCTACCTTTTTACCAGCATATTCTTTGACTACTTTGCCTAATTTTTGTGTCTCTCCCAGGAGGAATCCAAGGCCTTCCACACTCCCAAGACCAGCCAGGCCTCTCTACCCACCCTGGAACAACTGTTTCCCACTGCCGCCATAACCAACCTCCACTCCCAGCTCCCCTTTTCTAATAAACAAATGTTACTTTCACCAGCTGATTCCGATTCATCCTTTTACATGTGTTAATAGTCAAATCCCAATAGTTAAGTAAACTATCAAAATCATCCTAACGACACAGTGGTCAGTCCACTTACCCAGGAATTTTGAGTTGAACAATTACAGGAATATTATGTCTTTATGTTCTAATAATGTAAACATATTTTAGTAAATTGTTACCACAGAACATTTGGATAATGTTTTAAACATAGAGCATGTTATCCTTCTCTAAAATAATAACATTCTGGCAACATAAACAAATCTAACTTGCAGCTGAAAACATTTTATGAATGGTCGGGCATAATGTTCTAACAATGTTATCAAAAACATTTTAAGAATGTTTTTAGAGTACGTTATCCTACCTTTCAGAAGAACATTCTGGGAACCAAAATAAAAGCTGCTGAAAACGTTTTAAGAACAGTAGGGCATAATGTTCTAACAATGTTATCAAACACATTTTAAGAAGGATATCACCAAACATTTTAAGAATGTTTTTAGAGAACGTTATCCGACCTTTCAGAAGAACATTCTGGGAACCAAACAAAAACTTCCGCTGAAAACGTTTTAAGAATAGGAGGGCATAATGTTCTAACGTGAGAAGTCACGTGAGAAGGATTTCAAGATGGCGCCTGTGTCGGTATGCCGCTCCCTCAGCTCTCTGCCTTTAGCTATCCTGTTTTTGTTTTATGTTTGTCAGAATGTCCCTGCTCTGCTTGTCTATGATCTCTATGATCGCCAAGCTCTCCTCCACCTAAGACCCTCACTGGAGTTTATACTGCTGCCCAAACCTATATCTGGCAACCGTAAATCGACTCCCTCCCCTCTACTATCAGATATTCCCACCTACCTGCGCCGGTTGCCCTGCATCCTGCCTCACCGAAAGCGCTTTAGGCGACGGGGAAAGCGTGGTGGCGCGCTTGTCCATCAAAAAGCACACCTGACGGCTTCTTCCGTGACTTATCCACGCATCAGATGTCATGGCCCTCCCGCTGCACGCCATCCGAGGGTTCGGTGGATTCGCCCTGTCTTTCCGGAGCTGCGGCCTCTGCTGGCAGCTCCTCCTGCCCGACTGACTGCTCCCGGTCCGCGCAGCGTTCAACACGAACATCTTCATCAGCTGAGACGCACTACACCTTCGGCCAGCCCGGAGCGAAAACTCTGCATGGCTTTGCTAAATGCTAGGTCAATAGCAAACAAGACGTTCCTGTTAAACGACTTATTCACCTCTCATGATCTGGATTTAATGTTCCTGACGGAGACCTCGGTCCACACCGGCGAGTATGTACCGTTTTTTGAACTTCTTCCTCCCGACTGTACTTTCTTCAGCTCCCCCCGTACCACCGGGCGTGGTGGGGGTATAGCTTCAGTGTTTAGAGCTAATCTCCAATGCCGTTTGCTTCACCCAGTAACTAGCTATGCTAGCTTTGAGTTGCAGCTTTTTTAATTGATCCTAGCCTCGCCTATACTCTGCGCAGTCGTGTATCATCCGCCAAAGTACAATAATGATTTTATATCTGACTTTCTGTCCGGGATCATGGTGAAATATGATCGTGTTTTGATCTGCGGAGACTTTAATGTCCATGTGTGCTGCGAGTCTAAACCTCTGGTTAGGGATTTTTTAAACTTCCTCGACTCTTTCGGTCTCATTCAGTCTGTGGCTGGCCCAACACATGATAAAGGACACACCTTAGACTTAGTATTATCGTTTGGATTGTCTATCTCTGTGGATGAAATCTTTGCAGGAACGCGTATCTCAGACCATTTACCGGTTCTGTTTACAACCTCGATCCCTTCTGTAGGAGTCGAATCACGTGCTCCTGCGCGTTGTCTGTGTTCAATTAACCCCATGACTGC